TACACCTGGTACATAAAATATAATTAATTTAATAAGAAAAAAATATATGTATATATATATCTATCTATCCATAGATAGATAGATATATATCTATCCATCTATCAATAGATAGATAGATAGATAGATAGATAGATAGATATTAGATAAATAGATAGATATTAATAAATACATTTAAAAAAAATCATTCATTAATAAATAAATCAATAAAAAAGAATCAATGCATTATACCCTTTCAAATATAAAAAATGCACCTCCTTTACATGTATTTTGTTTGTATTGATTTATTACTGATATTTATCTAGAATAGAGTCAGGCTGTTTCAGTAAAGAAACGTGACAAAAACTTCCTATGGCAACAATTTAGAAATGTAGTTTTCTACCTTGCACTAGAAAATGACAGCTGGAATGGGTTGGTTAGTTTGATCATTACCTCCACTTTGCCTTGGTCCAGTGCAATGATATCTGTAATTAGCTTTCATGACTTATTTAGACAGACATCAACTCAAAGCATATTTTTATTTTGATGTTTTTCTTTTACAAAGTTTGACAGTGCCTCATGAGAATGTTTGCTGATTAGATATACATGTTTTGCTTCTTTCTAATCACAAGCATATATGCTCTTGCTTCTATGTTTCCTGTAGTATATTAAGAAAATGCAGAACAAGGTTAGATTGGACTCCTCTGAATATATATTTAATTTTACTGGTCTGTAATTATTAATATTTGCAAACTAGTTGGTTGCTAAATATGTTAAGTTCTTAAGCTATGAACATTTTTAGTGCTACTTATCTGGTAGTTTATCCTAATAATTGAAAATATGCTGAACTTACCTACTCCATGAGTATACATACAGATAGGGAGAGTGAAGGAGATGATAGTGAGATGGATACATAGGTAAAATTTTATATGTGCCAAAAAAATTACTAAACACCACCTGCTATAAAGCATGGGTAGTCTGATTCCCTTGACTATCAAAAGGAAGATTGTGGAACTTTAAACATGAGCACAGGTGAATTAATGAGAAGCTTATAATTATTCCAATGTATGTAAAGCCGCATTTAACAGCCAGGACCTTGATATAAAAAAGTTTGTTCCCAGGAATCTAAAACGTTACAACCATAACAAGATCCACAGGCTCTGACATGTTTGGCCAAAAAAGCTTAATCATAGAGACCATAACTTATAATGAATTGTAATTCTGTGACACTACTTCTCGGAGTATAAGCAATAACATCAATGTTCACAATGTATAGAAATATATATGTACATTAATTATAACATTTTTATATTAAAAACATAAAAACATATAATATATTAAATTAAATATTATATACACAAACATTTTTAAATATCATTAAAGAGTTGTCATTTAATATGATATAATGGCTTGTGCCTTACCTATGTAGAAGTTGGTGACCGTCCTCATCTGTTTGTGCTTGGTTATTACGTATATTACCAATGAGTTACCCACAAGTCCCACCAACATGATAAGGGCAAAGAATAGAGGAACCAACCAGGCATCTACTAGCAATGGAGGACTCTCTTCAGAGCCATACAACGTTCCATTGCTTCCAGGCAAAAAGTATTGATTTGGCTTGGTAACTTCCACAGAGTCATTTGGATAAGAGAACAGTGACAAATTCTCTCCTCTAGTTGGCATTGTCTCCGAAGGAAGTAGGGTTCCCCTGACATCATTCATGGCTAGAAAAGTTTCAGGAGAGCTGCTTGGTCGGTAAAGCTCTATTATTCACATATACATCTTCCATAGTACTATTCTTCTCATAGTTATTGAAGAAAGGTTGTTCTCAGATTGCATGAGCTGGGCATTAATAGTAGACCTATCTTGCTTATTTAAATCCTCAATCTCATTATCATGCAAATAAAGAGGAAAGCAATATGTTACCACCCACTTCTGATCCACCTGCGTTTCATGCTTTTTGTTTCCAGTGGGAGTCTGTCGTAAATGAAGGTACTCTTCTCCAACATCCTTGGCTGAAGTTTCAATGCTGCACACAGTGCGTAATCATCAGAGCTGAGATTCAGTGAGGAATGGACACAGAGGACAGCAGGGAAACATATCCTTCTGGGTCCTAATGCTTGCGCACTTTAACAATGAATAAATACAGCATCCTGTTACAACAGAAATAAGGAAGCATTCACCTCTGGCTTCAATAGTTAAGGAGACTATAATGTTTTTGGTCCATTTCATCTCATTTCAAATTTAAAATAACTAATAAAACAATCTAGATCCCTTTACTTAACACTTAATCCCAAAAATGAATTTCTAACAGTTAATTAAAAAACTGAATCCTTAACACATACCCTTCACCCTTAACACTTTAGCCCTGAAAGTCTGTCCTTACAACTATATCTTAGCCCCTTAATCCGAACATTAACAAAATTACTAACACTGATTGAAATTCTTCTGCAGAACCATTGTGAAAGGTAAAAGACCCTACTCCAAAATTTAAATGCTGAAATGAAAATTACTTTGACATATTCAGATAACGATTTATTGTTATTATTATTATTATTATGATAATGCATTTATTTATTTAGACCAGCTGATGCTATGGAACTTTTAGAGAGCACCTGTAAATGTAAATTTCTGTTTAACCACATACATGATCAAATTGATAATTTTTTGCTAGAAAACTGCTTAAAACCCTAAAACAATTATATGTTTTTTAAAGCAGAATAAAAAATGCTAGCTGCATTTTTTTAAATGTTGTACGATATTTGCACAAATGTTTATCAAATCCATGTTTTAGGAAGAAATATACTAAAATCAATTTCAGTGCACACAAACACAAAATAAAACCCATTTTTTTTGTAAAATATAAAAGATGGTGTTATTTCAGGTAAATAGATAACAAGCATGTCAAACCTTAAAGTGACACTAATGTACCTTATTTGTGTATCACTCAGCTGTAGATTCTCAAATCATCTCTGAATTGGTGCTGACACTGTCCTTTCTTCTGGAGGGTGGCTACTTTTGTCCCTGTGTGTTGTAGTCACCGCTCCAAGGCGATTCCCATGATAGACAATAACTTTAATACAAAATAGTAAACTAAACATTGTAGTACAACATGGGAGCCCATATTGGAGAGGTGGCTACTTTACAACACACACAGGGACCATGGGGAACAAAGTAGTCACCCTCCAGAAGGAAGGACAGTGTCAGCACCAATTCAGATTGGTGTATCTTATTTGAGTGATACACAAATAAGATACATTTTTGTTAATAGGTATGATACTTGAATGCATTTTAAAGATTTAACTCCTGAGTTCAACTGCAAAAGTAGAAATACACTTTAAAGATGCAAGTTTCATGGACCATCATGCTTGTTCTTGCTTACATCTAAGGTTTTTTTTCCAAAGGAATTATTCCTTTAAAGGCAAAATACAAAAGATTCAAATATACAGGGTGACCAATGGGAGTCGGACGTTTCAACATTGTTTGTTTGCTTACGAAAGCTTTGTTCGAAGAGGTGAGTCTATCACCGCAACGCAGCGGCTATTTCGTCGAGAATTCAATGTTGGTCAACATGGGGCCATTCCCAGTCACAACACGGTCCTTAGGTGGGTTAAAGATTTCAGAACAACCAGAAACATTATGAACAAGAAATCACCAGGCCCGTCCGCACTGCAAGGACGCCGGAAAACATTGCATGTGTGAGAGAGGCACTGGTTAGGAGCACGGCACAGTCTGCTCGAAAACATGCAAATGAGTTAGGGTTGAGTCGTGAATCAGCGAAAACCATTTTACAGAGAGATTTAAGATTCCATCCATACAAAATGCAGGTTGTTCAACAGCTCAATGTGAGAGATTACGAGCAACTAAAAGACTTTGTTGTGCGAATGTACGTGATCTTGGAAGAAAATGAAAATGCCATAATCATGATGAGCAACGAAGCTCATTTTCATTTGAATGGAACAGTAAATAAGCAGAACCTTCGTAACTGGGCTCCTGAAAATCATAGGAAAATCTCAAGAAAGACCTCTCCACTCATGTGTTACAGCGTGGTGTACGGTTGTCCCTTTTGGCATTATCGGGGCGTATGTTTTTTGAGGAAAATGGCTTAACAGTGACTTTTACCTCGGAACGTTACATTTACATGCTGAACAACTTTTTACGACCAGACCTGTGAAGACGACAAATAAACATGAGAAATGTTTATTTTCAGCAGGATGGTGCCACAGCGCATACTGCCAACGCGCCAATGGAAGTTCTTTCAAACATGTTCCCCGGGCGCCTCATTTCACGTTTCGGCGATATGCCATGGCCCCCAAGGTCTCCCGACTTGTCATCATGTGATTTCTTCTTATGGGGGTACCTGAAGAGCCGTGTGTACACTCACAAACCCCATAATTTGAATGAATTGAAGGATGCCATCCGACAAGAAGTGCTCACGATTGATCAACAGCTGTTGGCCCGAGTGATGGACAATTTCAAGCGAAAGATTGAAAGCTGCGTTCAAGAGGATGTTCGTTATCTAAATGACATTATTTTTTTTATAACTGAATAAGTAACTCAAATGGCATGCCTTGACCTCTGTTTTTGTCCAAATAAATACATTTCGAGTTGAAAATCTACAGAGTACTGTTTTTTTTCCCAAAACCGTCCGACTCTGTCGGTCACCCTGTACAAGGAGGCTGCCATTGTTGATTTTCTCTTTCTACAGGAACTAGTTGCTTTGGCTGTTATGATGATCCTTTGGGTTGAATAATTTGGGTCACTAACCCACCCCTTTTCTGATCTGGATACTTGTTACGAGCCAGGGACTCAGAAAGTAATGGAACCAGTGAATCAGCATAAAACTAGCTTTTCCAGAGGGAAATGGAATGGAATGTCCATATTTCTCTTAGGAAAGCCTATCCTTAAACTTAATCTTTTATTAACCTTTTTAGTGGGGCTGTCCCCGTACTGCAAGGGTTAAGTGCTCATTTTGGTCTAGGGAGGAAAATAACAAAGTTATACTCACCTGAACCTCTGAGCCGGCCAGATATGGTAGCGCTCCCTCCTGCCTATCTCCTCTTACAATCCAGCAATGGTATGTCCCTCGGCATCCTCACCTCCTATACACAGTGTATAGAACGTAATGACTCAGGGAGTTTAGACTGCTACAGCGGAGGAGGAGAGAAACGGAAGGGACTGGTCGAAGAGCAAGGTTGCTCGGAGGATCTTGTGAGTATAACTCTGTTATTTTCCTCCCTAGACCAAAATGAGCAGTTAACCCTTGCAGTTCAGGAGTAACCCCACTGCAAGAGTTCATACAAATCTTGCCAGGAGTTCTTCAATCTTTCCCATGTTAAACTGTTTTGTATACAATTTTTCACTATTGATATGCTGTATAATTGTATTATAAATACACGGATAATGCAGGGTGTTCCCATAACAGTGAGGAGCATTAGGAGTTTTGTGCACAGAGAGCACAGCAATCGCGTATTTCTTTCTGTCTCCTTCTAACTAAAACTTCTGAAAGGGGGGGTGGGGGGTGAATCACTCCCCTGAACATGTTCTTGCATAATATAAGCCTCAGCTACTGAGCTCTGTAAATAACAAACACGGAGCAAACAATACAGAGTAGAATGGAAGGCATGTGAAATGAGCTTAGAGCTCCATTTGCTGGCTGGAATTGAGAATACAAATACACTAATATGTATTATTTACATATTGACTAAAAAAGTACATTTTTTAAATTTGATAGTAAATAAAGAAAGAAAATATATAACACTTAACATCTCCGCTCTTTAGTGAAATATGTAGGCAGTCATTGTTTATCTGTCCATCTGTCTCTGGCTTCTTTCTGTCTTCTTTTTAAGCACAATAAGGTTTAAGCACAGGTTTAGTTTAAAAGGAAACTATGAGGGTTTTTGGTCTACATTTTTTTTATACATTTACATTTATACATTTTTAAACTGATGATTTATAACTGTTAATTTTATACAATCTTTGTTACGCAATTAAATATTAAAGCAACTGTTGCTTTTGGAAGAAAAGTAGAAAGCTTGACTATTGCGAGAAAGGACACTGAATACTTATGGTGGCGAGTCCAAACTCTGTTCTATTCAAGCAGTACAGCCTCCGGCAAAATCTTCAGCGTTGGATTCTGGGAATGTCCAATTCCTGTGTTACCTGCAGCGCTTAGTGGTTCCTCCCACTGACCATGAAGGCACTACAGGTCTTAGTAGGGGCCAGCAGGAGGAACCACAGTGTTCAAAACTCCCGTAAGTGAATGTTGAAGATTTTGCCAGAGGTTGACACATGGCAGAGGATTCACAGAGCATCGTGGGTTTTCTAAAGTGGGTTTTCATGGTTAATCACAATCTTTCTGTTGATTTTTCTCATCATGATTTGAAATGTGACCATTTTAAAGTACATCCATACAGGGGAAAAAAAGGCTGTGCACATATGCAATGCATACACTATGCACATAAGCATGCATACACTATGCTTATGCACATGGCTGCCCGTAGGCATTCAAAGTAAATTCCGGCATATATTCCCTGCCAAGGAGCCACCGCTGCTGCAGGTAGCCTGCCATAGAAGTCAATGGCTCTGCAACATGTAATATGTGGTCGAAAACAAGGGAAAAGCAAGGAAGAAGGGAATGGGCATGAAAGTGTCTGGTCTAAGGGTAGTAACTTGGATGGAGGGGAGTGGAGAGTCGCTAATTGGATAAGGTGGGTGGAGGAGTGATCAGATATAGTGTGTTGTTGGTGAGACAGGATACTTGCGTTAAGGTCATAGATCTATGGGACTAGGAGGAGGTGTAGGTCAGTCAGTAAGATGGTAT